TGCAGGTCATGAAGTGCTTCAAGTATCTTATAAGGATAATTTCAATTAAAGCTTAATTGCCGGTTAATCTGGGTATTGCTCAGAAAGTTATTGTGTTGTGAAAATGATGAAGGTCATTGTCTTTATCGTGGTTTCCTCTGTACAAATCCCCACATGCTAGCAAAGCCAGTGGAGTTGCATCAGCTTCTATAGTTTTTCTTCTAACCTGCAGCTAAACTGAGACTTTATTCTTCCGAGTTATAACGAAATAAGTCGCACAATGGTTGGAAGTATTTCTGTTTCTCTTCTCCTTGTGGGAAGAATAATCCCTCTGTGCCCTCATTTCTCTTTCACTAAATATATCCGAAACTAAGCTGAATATATAGCTGAAACTAAGAATTGCAAGAACACATTTGACTCTTGGTGCTTAATAATTTGTACCAATGTCTCCACCTGTAAGGCCAAGCTGCTTAGGGAAAGACTGATTATTTTCCACAGTGACATGTTTAAAGTTCACTTTGAACACAGGTGGGCTTACTTTATCCAGCTACGGGATAACGCTTTTTCTTAGCAAGTGAAGAACAGATCCCAGGAGGAGACACAAATCCCTTTGTGGTTGCATCAAGAAGAGCATCTGAATATTATTCTCGCTTGTGAATAAGTGATCAGCTGAAAGTAGCTCTTTGTTGTCTTACTAGTGTGGAGATATTCTCTGAATCAGAGCTTCACCTTTATCCAAGCTTTCATAAACCTTTGCTGTGATTCAGAGTAATAGCTGGAATAACAGATGTCAGCTCATATCTGTTTTTGATTGTGTTTGGTAAAGTTGCTAAAAAAGTTCTTAACAAAACGTTTTTGTTACAGCCGGGCTCCACCATCCCCTCCACCTATGGCCCGGGCTGCTCCCCCTCCCTCCTACGCCCCGGCTCCGATGCAGGCGCCTCCGTCCGCTGTCGGCACGCCAGCCGCAGCGCCCAGGCAGCCGGGTATGTTTGCCCAGATGGCGTCTACAGCCGCTGGGGTGGCAGTAGGCTCGGCGGTAGGCCACACAATCGGTCACGCCATGACTGGAGGTTTCAGCGGAGGACACTCAGAGCCTGCCAGGCCTGACGTCACATACCAGGTAAGCCCAGGTTTAGCCAGCCACAGGACTGGAACAGTTTCAAGGAAGATTAGGGTGTCTGAGACACAGTATGCAGGGCCTCTGCAACATGGAGCAGGTGACAAACAAACACCACATTTTATGTAACGCATGGAGTTACATGCACTGTGGTAGTTCAGTATAACAGCCAGATGGAAACAATATGATGAAAATTGAGACTTTTAACTAAAAGCAGTGAAGGAATCATCTTGCTTTCATTAAGACTCCTGTGTGCAATCAGTGCTGGTTGATTAAAGATGAATTACTCCCTCTGCTCAATCTGGGTTTATTTTTTGGTTTTTTTATGTTTACACATGTGATAAGTTTAATTTGAAAATACAGACACAGCTGCTGCTGAAGGTAAACATCAGTTATGAAAAATATTTGGGGCGTTTATAACCAAAACAAAAGTCCAAAGGTCAAACGTGGTTTATTTACATTCACACAAGTGCAGGGAAATATGCATAATGATGTTTGTCTCATTAACCCTGAACCCAGTACATCACTATTATCTTTATGCAGTTACATTCATAGTAGATTTTAAGATATGAGTGATGACCAATCATTTACTCTGCTTTTCTTTATGACAAAAAGGACTTGGAAACCACACGCTCTTGAGCAGTTTGAGGATCGCAGTTTTAGATATTTCAGCATTTTTATCGATAGATGTGTAAATAGATTTACTTTGTGTCATTAATGGAAGATATTCCATCTTTGTGATACAAAACTGAAGCTTGTTCTGACATGTTAAACTCTGTTTTGATCTTTGTCACACACATGATTTAATCCTCTGCCTTGTGTGTATTAGGAGCCATACCAGGCCCAGCCTGTGTACCAGCAGGGGGCCCCTCAGCAGCAGCAGCAGGTCTGCTCCTACGAGCTCAGGCAGTTCGTTGAGTGTGCCCAAAACCAGAGCGACCTCAAGCTCTGCGAGGGCTTCAGTGAGGTGCTCAAACAGTGCAGGTTTGCTAATGGTGAGTGAAACACGTCCAGGCTTTGTATAAATGGAGACTGCTGTCTTTCTGTCTTCTAGTCGTTGCTTTTCATCATTATTAGTAATTTGTAGGGGTGCAACGATACACAAAATTCACGGTTCTGTTCGATACTTTGGTGTCACGGGTCGATATTTTTTTTCAATACAAAAAAATGTTCATGCCTTTTTAATTTGTCATTTATTAAATTTTCACGGCACATTCCGCACCACATCTCTGTGCGTTCAGCATTTGTTTGAAGCCAGCTCACCTCCTGCAACCACTTTTCCGAGAATACGTGCTTCTTTTGTGGTTCGGACTCCTTCTGACATTTGTTTGGAGGTAGAGGAACACCACAGTAATTGCTTAAAGGAGCTTCTTCGACATCTTTAAGAGTTCTAAACAAGTGTCTGTCCTCCTTATGTACGCAAACGCGCGTTGCAACTTATCTTTATTTTGACAGCGAATGCGCACCTGCGGACCACTTATGTGCACCCCTGGTTATTTAGCTCGTCATATCGCAGCCATAGAAATTCTTTTGTCCATGAAACCATAAAGCTGCACTTTCTTTTTGCCTTATAGTCTGATTTGTCATAACTTTTCTGTTTTGTGGAAAGCTTTTCTTTGGCTGTCACTTCTTCACCCTGACCTGTCTTATTTGGCTCAGCAGAACTAAAATATATATCCTGCTGCTTTTATACACACACACACACACACATAACGGTCAGCGATTCTCTGCACGATCAACCTTTCATATGTTTAAGCTTGCTGCGGGAGATTTCACTTGTCATGTTTGCATAGTAAGCTAACGATTAATAAGACGATGTCAGAGGAATTGGTGCGCAAATTATCATCACTCACCAATCAGTGCTGTTGCTCTCTATACACAGTTCGCACGATTGCAAAGTGAAAGCAAAAAACAAGCGCAAATTCAAACCGATTTCAATATGTCACATATTGACAGTGGCTCACCGATGCCAATGACATAATTACCCAGCTACATTTCCAAAAGAATGCAAAAGCATTGACATATATTTTCCCTTCCTACGATAGCCCAACGGGCAGGGCAGAGATAGATTTTGGTAGCCCGACTGGGAAAATCGCTAGCCCCGGGACGTCGGGCTAGCGATATTGCGAGCCCTGTATCTGATTGAGGAATCACTCATCTTTGGAAAAGAGAGTTTATTACAGAGAAATGTCTCTTTCCAAAATAAAAGCTATACTATACGCTTCTTCTGGTCTATATTCTCAGCAGCATATTAAACATATCAGGTCCCCATAAGGAGACTCATGTGCTAACGGCTGTCTAAATGACTCGGGTAAAGTTTGTAGCATGCATGCTTGTTGTTTTTGTCTGCTTCCACTTGTCTTTGCACTAGGATGATGTCGGTGTAAATGTGCAGTCATATTCGTTGTGTTCCCACTAGTGCTGTCAGCGTAAATCTCGTTGAAATGACGTTAACGCCACAACACTGCAAATCTCCGTTAACGATCGCCCCGTGCATGGGGCTGGACGGCCAACACGTTAACGAGCTAACTGCGCTAACACACTAGTTCCCACCCATGTAATTGAGCATTGCGTGGCACATCCAACATACTGTTTTACTTTAGTCCATGACTCGCTTACCTTCAGGGTCATATGTCACATGAAAACTAAAGTAGTTCCAAACGCCAGATCTGAATGAGGGTGGGGGAGGTTCAATTTGCCATGTTGCAAGAAGAGCTTAACTTCTGTCTGCTAGCTTGCCCTGCGCTCAGTGGATCTGCGTTCGACTACTCCGCCTAGGCTGCACTGTCGAGCGCAGATCCACTGAGCGCTCAACACAGACAGCATCGTCAGAAGGAAAGTTGATAAAATAAATTAAAAATTTTGTATTGTTCGATACATATGCGTACCGAACCGAAAGCACTGTATCGAACGGTTCAATATCGATACGTGTATCGTTGCACCCCTAGTAATTTGATATATTTAAAGTGAGTGTAGTTACGAAATACTATAGTTTCTGTTGCATTTGCGGCTAGCTAAACATTTACTACGTATGGGGGGGTAGACGCACAAGCTGTTGCACATTTTCAGCATGCTCCTTTCATAAAATTCTGTTAAAGTACTGGATCTTCCTGATGCATATCAAATAGATCAACATCAAGCTGTTGCATTTTCAGTCTCATTTTTCTCTTTTCAAACTGAGTTTAACCCAGCAAGCATCGAGGCTTTGAATGAGCCCTTTGTCGCTCACATATCAAAGCCAAATGACTTTGCACTATTCTAAACTCCTGTAATACCCAGTGTGGCCATAAGGGGGAGCCTTAACCTAAGTATGTTAAGTCATTTTAAACGATTTAAAGTATTAACTGTCCTTTATCTCTTTCTACAGGTCTGTCATGAGAAGAGATGCTATCTGCAGAATGAAGATCACATCTCCTTATTAAAGATACTGAGAGGGTGTAATTCACAATCAATAAACATGTTTTAATGATCAATTGTCATCGGACAGCCTCATTTCTCAGACTGCTGCAGAGCTTGTAATCATAGTTTTATAAATAATGTTTATATATTTTGGTTTTAGCTCATGTTTGAGGTTTATTTTCAGTTGTCAGTGCATGCTTTTAATTTAAATCCTGTCTCATGGCAAGACTTGTAGAGAGAAAAAAAGGCCACTTTCACCTTCTGGCTGCTGGGTTTGATTCAGACTAATAAAGGACTTGAATTAAAACGAGACTGTGATGGTTTTTGTTTTTTTGTTTTTTTTGTTTTTTTTTTTCCCCCACATCTCCTCATCATATGCGCTCTGTATTATTACACTGAAGCATTTCTGTTTTCACCTGTGCTTTCTTTAATTAGACTTCAGCAGCTACAAAGGGGTGTCCCGCACCTGTCCCGTCACTCTGCTTTCAGCGCAAAATTCACGAGCTGCAACCTGCGCGTGAAGTAATGTTTTGACTCTAAAAGCGTCGTGGCGAGAGCACGAGCCGCGGGGTATTATTTCATGGATGGGGTTTTTTGTAAGGACTCATTCAGGGTGTCCTTCTGCATCTGCCGAAGCAAATAGTTATTTTTGGCACCTGACATTAAAGCTCACCCTCTGCAGAATGGCAGCAGCAGACCCGCAAACGCGCCATAGCGCCGGAGTCTGACTGCAGCTCTTTGTTCGTCCTCAGAAACTCACTGTGCGCGATTTGATGATGGATTGTCTTCGTATCAGGGACTGACGGACACGGTGAGGGACGCCGGCCTTTTAATGCGTTTATATTGCAGGTCACTCCGGGACAGTGAGTGAGCAGTTGAACGGGTTCACATGTGGTGGCGTGGGTTGCTTTATTAGTCTGCGCTGTGTTTGGTATGACATTAAGTTTGAAACGATGGCTTCTTGTATTCACCCAAAACACGTTCTGTGAGTTTATTGGACTTTTGTTTGCTTTACTGGAAGAAGTGAAAGGAGACAGGTGGGTACATGTTGTAACGACGGGAGGAAAAAGTCGCCCATCTGTTTTTTTTAATCATTTAAAATCAGATGTTTAAAAATCAGATATTTTGCGCGTTAGAGCATCTAAGAGGAAAATTTAACCACAGCCGTGTTACTGAGACCATCATTTTTTCAAACTGCTCTTTTATTGAACTGAAGCGACACAGTGATGTTGGCACATGTTACAGGCTGTAAAATACGAATTTCCTGTTCAGTATTCAGTGCGCATTCACTGGCCAGTCTCGTTTCTGACTACAGTAAAAAGAGAATGTCCAAACTACACGTTTTGTTGGATATTTATGAAAACATTGCTCTTTTTTGCACATTTATTCACAGAATTGCAGAAAATATTTATTCTAAAAACTCCTGTGATGTAAGTAATCAGATGGAGAAGTGGGAACTGATTTCCATTAAAAATCATGAGTTCAGTAATTTCAGGGTTCAAAGTGATGTATGATTTTCAGAAATCTCCACACTAATAGAACTTCCACATTTTTCTGTTTCAGCCCTGTCTATATTCTGACAGGTTTTAATAATAACTTTGCTTATAGGCCGTTATAATCCTAAAAACATGGAAATAATGCTAATAATCATCATCGTTTTGAAGCTTTTCTTGAGATTTTTGCGCCGGAAGTGCATCCAAATGAGTAGATATGAGAAGTTTGTCTCCTGTAAACACTAAAATGTAGTTTCAAGGTAAGTAATTAATTGGGATCAGGGACGTTCTAGTAATTTTTAAACGGAGTGGCACTGCGACAACCAAAGGAAATAAGAATACTTAAAGATAAATAAAATGGATTAAAATAAATCACACTGCAATTTAAAAGGGAAAAAAGGTATCGCTGTCTATGGCGACGCCCTAGCAGTTAAGGGAACATACTTAAGTAGGTGTAAAATGCCTAAAGTAACTGTACTCCATATGTTACATGATGTTATTGGTAATAATTACAATTAAATGATTCATTTGTTGATGATTTTGATTACTTAAGTATCACTCAGTAGCTTGATCTGTAATAATGCAGTTTAATTACTTAACATTCTGCTGATAAAGCTTTAAATTTAACAGTATGGCCTACAAAATACAGCTGGCACGCCTGGTGCCCAAACACACATCTTATCTGGACAGCTCCTGCTGGTGAAGCAGCTAACTGGTGAATATCCGTCAGAACAGCTTGGAAGCAGTTCTAGTGTGATCAGATGTGCAAAAAGCCTTAAAGTAGAGCTGTGTTTGGTGAAAATGCTGGAGTTTTGAATGCATGTTCTGCCTGCAGCCTGAGGTCAGCTGCAAGAGGAGATACTTCTGTACTATTAGCCTTGAGCTGGAAACATGACCAAGGAGGAGGAGATCCCTGACTGGGTGGGAGCCAAAGAGTTCTACGACAAGTATGAGCCCAAGGAGATTCTGGGAAGGTATGTTTACGAAACCGTCGTCGTAACGTGACCCATAGCAGAGGTTCACCCAACTGAGCTGAGCAGAAAACTCTCCATTGGACTTTGGACTAAAGAGTGCACAGTTTTACCTGTTAAAGATTAGGTAAACTAGACCTATATGTAGCCACATGTGAGGGTTCCAGGATTAAGATCCACTTGAGCAAAACCCCAAAAAACAATAATGGTTTATTGTTTGTGAATTTAACCCAACTCGTCTCTTCTTCAGAGTTTACACAAAATAACTTCAAAGAGTAGCAAGGCAGAACACAAAAATGGTAAAATATCTACTTGCTATTAGTTTGTAGATTCATTTAATGTTACAACACACCTCAGATTTAGACCTCAGTTCAAACAGCTATCATCCTCTGCACAGAACAAGCACTTTCCCCAAAGTTTCCCACAAGCCCCTGAGAAATGGGAGCCGAGCCAGGGCCTGCTCATTGTCATTCAGTCCACCAGCTGTCAGAGGGTGGTGCTGTTACGTAAGACACATTATCCAAGGAGGCCACATTTATTAACTTCAGCACGCTTCAGACAAAGTGTTGGCCGTCGGTCTGATAGATTATGTAATTTCACCCCCTTTTCCCACATGCAGGTCAGGAGGTCACAGGATGTGGACAATGTGTCCTTCTTCTAGTATTCTTCATTCAGAGAAAAGTCACTGGAGTTCCTTTACTGTGGTCACCCTGAAGTTTCTCTTGTTCATTCATAAATCGCCCTCTGAATTTAATTTCAGCAGTAAGGTTTTCAGTTTGCTTACTTGATGTTTTTCTCTGTTTTCCTGGACGTTAATGATAAACAAGACAATCTTCATGACAAGCACATTCTTCACTGTTTTTACTTGCTCTGTCAGACTGATAAGATGGTAAAAACACACAATACTTTCCTTTAGTCTGACCATGTCACTGATTTCTGACCAAAAACAGTGCTGTTTTGAAACGGTTAAACACATGATTCATGATGAAAGACACGGTCACAGAACATTTTATCCAGCAGTTATCACAAGTTGCCCTCCTACCCAAACCTAAAAACAACAGATGTGCAGCTTGGACGGCTGATGTGTTTTTTTTTCATCCTCAGGGGAGTGAGCAGCGTGGTGCGCCGCTGCGTCGACAAGCATACGTCTCAGGAGTACGCGGTGAAGATCATCGACATCACCCCCTCTGACAAGATGACGCCGCAGGAGATCGAAGAGATCAGAGAGGCAACGGTGAAGGAGATCGACATCCTCAAGAAAGTCTACGGGCAGGAGAACATCAGTACGCATGCTTCATTTAATCAGTTTGACTGGAAAAACTTGGGTTCGTTTAAACTTTGTTCTTCTAACATGGCCAAATATCAAAGTAACTCTCTTCTCCAGTTCAGCTCAAAGACTGCTATGAGTCCAAGGCCTTCTTCTTCCTGGTTTTCGACCTGTAAGTGTTTCACATGGATGATTCCTGAACAGGTATTTATGTGAAAATCAACCAAAGCTTTTAGTTTCTTTTTCCCAGAATGAAGAGGGGTGAACTTTTTGACTACCTCACAGAAAAAGTTACACTGAGTGAGAAGGAAACACGGTCAGTGAGCATGTTATTTAATAAAAAGACAGATAAATTCCGCTAACTCTTAAAAGGACTCTTTAAAGGTTTGTACGTGTTGTCTTTAGGACGATCATGCGGTCTCTATTGGAGGTGGTCCAGTTTCTCCACGCCCAGAACATCGTTCATCGGGACCTGAAGCCTGAGAACATCCTTTTAGACGACTACATGAACATCAAACTCACTGACTTTGGTTTCGCTGTGCAGATTCAGCCAGGACAGATGCTCAAAGGTCAGTGAAAGCTTCCATTACTGCAAGGTGTGTCAGCAGTTCAGAAACCTGGTGGCTGTAATCATACAACTTGTCAAAAGATGACAAAAATACTTAAAGCATTAAAAACTTTCACAGGTTGGCTGACAGTTAAACACCAGTGCATCATTTCAGACCCACCACTGAGTTGAGTGAATATTAAAGTTACAGTTTACAGCCTGCAGTGCACTCGTCAGGACATCAGCTGTTGGTGGTGAGCGGAGAATCTGGGTCTGGTTGCACAACAGCTCCCTGCTCTCTTAGCTGCTCTTACAAAGGTTAAGAAACAGGACACTCTGATCTATTTGCTGCAGTTCCAGACACTCACAGTACACTGACCTTTCAAATAGACTTCTCAGAAGTCGGATCATTAGCAGTGCGAAATGCCAAGCGTCTAATGAAACTGTGCATCGCTGGATAGTTTTGTTCAGTCGGTAAAGACGTAATGGGCTTCTTCCATTAGGCTGGAGATCTACTTGACCCAGCAGCACTTAATCTAAATGTGCTCAATTAATGTCTAAATGCATAATACTTTAATTATGCTATAAATGTTCCCTAAAGATGGATGTTAAATTAAAGGAAAAACCTAATCTCTTGAGTGAGGGGATCTTGTGGCTCTGTTATGCTGAGGTGGAACATTGGCATAGTTTGTACTGAGTTTCTCAAATCAATACAATGCTGTTCAACGTAATGTAATATTTCTAGCGGGATGTAGACCTCTCTTCCAGGGTGAGATCTCCATCCACAGGGCATGAGAGCATGCTGAATGGCTTGATGATGATAAAAACGAGGAGAATCAGAAGCTGTGAGCAGAAGTTCTCACACTGTCTCTGCCGTGCCCTCCTTCAGAACCCAAAAAGTTTGTACTCCACCTCTCACACAATTCTTTTTTATCAGTCACTGACAATAGTCACTCTTTTGGAAGTAGCTCGATCTGCCCAACCAGTTGTGGTAAAAGGAGTTCTTCCTTCACACTGTTTCAAAGTGCTCACTCACACAGTGGTTTTCAGGGTCTTTAGCGTGCAGTATAAATCCCTTTGAGGTGAATATTGCTGTGAATTGGATCGGTTAAACAGTATAAATAAAATTGAACCACACTGAGTTAAATTGAAAGAGTTTGTTTTGTCTCTCCAGTAGAGATGCACTGATTCCCATTGAATGTGATGTCCAAACACTTCCCTAAGATACTGTATTATTTTTTTCTTTTAATATATCATCTATTTGTGTGTCACTTTTGTAGTTGTAGAGATATTAATAGACAATGAGGATAGTAAATATTTAACCCTTACATACCGTTTGGGTCAAATTTGACTCAAATCTATTCAGATGGGTTTTAGATCCACCAGCATGAATCAAATCGAAGGAAATGGCGGGCGTCTTAAAACTCTGCGTGACATGTCTGTGTGTATTTTGTATAGGAAAGTGGTGACAGAGTTCTGTCATGAAAAATACTGGTGTTCCCTCCACATCTACCCAGGTTCCTGCAGAGACCTGCCCATGCAGGTCTTTAAAGGACCATCAGGGGGATCTCCACACAGTGAAATAGTAAAACAGCACAGGATCGTTTATGGGTCACATAAAGAACAGAGGTCATACAGAAGTCAGAGAGTGCCTTGGGCAGACACACAGCTGTAATAGGGCTGCACAGTGGTAGAGTGGTCAGCACTGTTGCCTCACAGCAAGAAGATTCCCAGTTGAAATCCTGGCTGTAGCCTTTGCATGTTCTCTCTGTGCCTGTGTGGGATTACATCAGGTATTCCTGCTTCCCGTCACAGTCTAAACATATTAGTTTAGTTTAGGTTAACTAGTGATTCAAAATCCATGGCCTCCACGCCTGATTTACACACTGAGGGCAATTTTTAGGGTTCTTGCCTAAGAACAATTCTGCATGTAGACAAGGATAGACTCATGAATACATGTAAATGAACACCTCTTAAGCGCTTAAGCGTTATTTGAAATTCTGTAAAAGTGGTTTTATGTTGACAAAGATCAGGGAATATGCTCCCTTTAATAACATGTATTTACTCTTCCTGTCTGTAATGCAGAGGTGTGTGGGACTCCTGGTTACCTTGCTCCTGAGATCATTGAGTGCTCTATGGACGCAGGACATTCAGGATATGGTACAGCTGTGGACATGTGAGCGACCATGAAATCGGTTACCAAGTAACAAAAATATCAATAGGAGGGAGTGTCAGCTTTACTCTCATGTTACCAAAATTGATCTTATGCACCTCAGCAGTGTGTTAGAATTATCTGTGTACAAAATAATGACTCATATTATCTGTGTGGCTCGGCTAATACGTGTTCCAGGTGATTAGATTATGCATGTACACACTGCACAGTGAACAGACTAGATAAACTTTGTTCTGGCTCGTGTTTGCAGATGGAGTTCAGGTGTTATCATGTACACGCTGCTCGCGGGCTCTCCACCGTTCTGGCACAGGAAACAGATACTGATGCTGCGCATGATCTTAGCGGGGACGTACGACTTCTCCTCTCCTGAATGGGAAGACCGCTCAGACACGGTCAAAGATTTGGTAATCTTACTTTTTGCAGTTTGTTGCAATCTCAGTTTTATAAGTTAGGTGATAAGGTTGAAACCTTGGAACTAAAATAATTCTTCCTCCAGATCTCGCGGATGCTGGTGGTGGATCCAAAGCAGCGTTTCACAGCTACAGATGTTCTGAACCACTCATTCTTTTCACAGTACGTGGTGCACGAAGTACGACAATTCACTCCGTTCAGGCGCTTCAAGGTGAGAAACACAAGATTTTATCAAACTAAAAATCTTAATAGTTTTCATATTTGAGGGATATATTTTATGGTATCTTTATCATATCTCGATCAAAATATAACCCTAATTCCAAAAAAACCTGGATCTTGCTCCCCCTAAATTTCTGTCTATTTCTGTCTACTACAACTTTACTGTCTTTGATAGTTCATAAAGAAACCATAACCTTTTCTGAACTTTCTCCATCAGGTTATTTGCTTGACCGTTCTCGCTACAATGCGAATCTACTGCAACTATCGCCGTGCCAAGCCCATCACCAAGGAGGTGATAAAGAGCGACCCGTACGCCGTGAAGCCCATCCGCAAGCTCATAGATGCGTGCGCCTTTAAGATCTACGGCCACTGGGTCAAGAAGGGCCAAACCCAGAACAGAGCAGCACTTTTTGAGAACACGGCCAAAACCATCCTGCTTTCAATCGCCACTGAAGCGGACGAGCCCATCCAGTAACAAGCAGCGTGGACTGACACGTGCTGAGTTTTACATGGGGAAACATTTAAACTTCTTTCTTTGTAGAAAAGAACTGCTACAACTAGTTTATGCATAATGCAGCATTTTTAAAAACAGCCGTAGTAACTACAGGGGGATTGATTTATCTCAAGGACTGAAATGTTTGGCAAAATTTTCAACCATGCCACTGGTGACATTGTGCTTGCTTTGTTCTAAAAGTGTACTCAACCCATTGTCAGCTTGTGTCCTATGAAAATGCAGCTGCTGTTCTTTAGATCGAATGCAGCCCCTCAAATACAAGGTGTATCAAAAAAGAATAATCAGATTTCAAAAGGCTATACTTTTTAATGAACATAGAAACTTATGGTAAATTTTAAAGTACATGGCTGAATATACAAAAAGTTACGTTTGCAAATGCCTGATGTGTCTCCCTCTGCAGTTAAACCTCGCCCATACTTTGGAGAGCATGTCTGGAGTCGCTGCTGTTGTTCTTACCAGCAACCATGTAAAACTCGAATCTGCTCTAACAGCACATGTCCGTCTTTTGATCGTTAAACGGCGAATGGCTGTGGAATTAAGGCGCTTTTAATTCCAATTTTTTTTTTTGATACACCCTGTATATTAACAAAAATTTTTTTTCAGCACTACATGGTATTCTTATAGCCTTTGCACTCTAAAAACTGTTTATATTTCAAATGTTAAAGAGTGACTCAGGAGGAAAATGGAGAGTTTAGTTAAGTCTATACTCTATTGTGAAACCTTGTGGGAAATACCTGCAGTTTATCTGGCTGGAATATAAAACCTGCGTGATTTACAGTTTGAGAACTATGTGCCTACTTAATCGATATGCAGAGTATGCTCTGGTGGCAGCAACTCAAGGGAAGTGTAACTTTAACTTGTATGCTATGAATCTATTTATTAAAACATGTAAAACCCCAAGTCCTGCAAATGGAGGGGTACTTCAGCTCTGCAATTCTGTGCTTTTCTGTCTTTCTGCAGCATTTTTAAGCTTGAAGTAGAACACTGACACACACAGAAGAAAAATAATTACAATTTTAAAGTTTATTATCAACAGAGTGAGATGCACATCAAAAAAAACATCACAGGTTGACCGACTTCAGACAGATTTGAGTGTGTTGACCGTTGTCCCCACAGTCTTGCTTTGGAAGCTTTCATCCTGCAGAATTTAGAAAAACAGAATAAATCAATATGAAACCATCAGGAATAGCCAAATGTCTGTTTGTACTCATTCCCACGCAGCTGGATGAGCTTGAGGAAGGCACTCATCCACTAATTTAGTGGAAATGAGACGTGGCTGTTGCATGGTGTCTGACTGTATCCAGCACAGAGCAGCTGGACCAGAATTCGCCCATGCCTTTAAGTTAACAAGTCTAATAACATACCATCCTCGGGAAGTTCCCCAGAGGCTGGCGACAGGTCGAGCTGCACTTCATGTAAATGTTTAGACACGCTGAAACAGAAGGAGAACCGAAGCTATGAGATAAATCTGAGCTAATAAAACAGGAAACAAGCCAACAGCACAGAGCATCAACAGGGAGGAAGACAGCAAGCAATGTTGAGCAACAGATCATTAATATACCGGCTGAATCGCTTTGAAGGAACGAGGCCGTTGATGTATTCACTCTGACATAAGAATGAGAAGCACAATGAGCACCCTCATCCTGCTGAGTCAGTTTGTGAAAGCATTCATGTTGCATGGTGTCTGACTGTATTTACTACATCCAGAGCAAAACAGAATTCAGCCATGCATTCAAAATTCAAGCTGTAATTTTATTTATAGAGTACATTTCACTACACTCAAGCTTTCGGCTGTTCCCTTGGCAAAGGAGTCACGGCAGAGGGTAGCTTTGCATGTTTGATATCCAGATCCCCTTCCTGATACAACCCCTAGAGGGAAATTCATTTCCAGATGGAATCGAATCAATGACCTTTCACTTGACAAGTGAATGGGTAGAAGATAAAAACATAAAAAGGTATGTAGGTTTAAAATGAAAACTGCAAAATAAAACTTACTACAAAGTAGTAAAACACCAGTTCACACTTATGAGCCGAGTTCTGGGAGAATAAAAGGTTTTGAGCCTGTTTGTAACTGATCTCAGGTCAGCAGGTGGCTCGTTCCAAAGATCAGGAGCACTAGCAGCTGAAAAGCACCCTCGGCACAATATTTTTCACTGCCTTTTTCCAACAACACCTCCTCGGCTCCACTCCATTCTACTCTGTTTTGGTCACTGTGTAGTAATTTCCCTCGTTTCCCCTTCAAAAATGGTGAGTTTGAGTCTTATGAAAGAGTTGCTCTCATGACTTACCCCGGCCAAGAAAACAAAAACAACCTGGTACCAGGTACTACCACTTAATGGAAAACGCTTAAAACCAAGTTGAGCTGAGTAGATGCTAGTGAAAAGAGGAATTACATGCATTTCTGGGGACAATTAAACATCTGCATGATGATCTGAGAGGTCAGACTATGTTATAGACACTGACCTAGTCAGATAAATACTGGGGAGGCCAAACCACTGAGTGCTTTGTCAACTAATAGAAGGATGATAAAAGAAGGATGATAGAGCATTACAGCAGTCCAAACTGCTTGAGATTAACGCAGTGGTTCAACTCAAACAACTACCCACTGTGGTGACCGCTTATGAATAAGGGACCAGCTGAAAGTAACTTTCCATTCAGAATATTCAGTACGAAACAACATCTCCATAGACACTCTGAATAAAAGCCACATAAAGTGTAGTGATGGAACAGACTGGGATAAGTGGCGCGATATGGCAGCCTCGCTTCTGTCAGTCTGCCCCAGGGCAGCTGTGGCTACAACAGTAGCTGCCTCCACCAGTGTATGAATGTGAGAGTGAATGAATAGTGGTATTGTAAAACGCTTTGGGTGCCTTGAAAAGCGCTATATGAATCCAATCCATTATTATAAGTGGAATACTTTTTTTTTGCGCTTGGGAACACACTTACCCTGGTTATATCCTGAAAAGACACGTGGTTTTGCTTTGGCATTAACTAACTCAGTCACTTCCCCTGTGTTTCATTTGTACCTTATAGTATATTAAGAACCGTGTGCATCTGCCGGTCGCTTCAGCCACATGGAGATCTGCGTGTTTCAGGATGGGAGCTCCCGCATGATTACTCCGGATATCACCTCCAGTACCACCCTGTGCAACAAGCAACGACGACAAAGCACAAATAAACACAAATGCACATCCTGCACAGGATTCCACCTTTAAGCTGTCAGGTAACACCTTATCCACATAGTTACAACCTATGAGAGTGTTCTTACAGCATGGTGGCGTTACGGAAAATAAGTAAATTAATTCACAAGTGAACACAATTTACACAAATTATCGGGTCCACCACGTGTGCATGGAAACACGTGCCGTTAACTAAATACCTTCAACCTGAATGGGGGGGAAAAATCACCTGCGTCACGCTACAGCCTCATATTTTAACCTTCGTTTCTTCAAGAACGTTTTCCATTCACAAAACTCCACGGTGACTTCTACATGAAGTCTATAAGGCCACATCTTCAGCAGACCAAAGTACGTCCGGATAAACCACGCTAAAGACTTTTCCTCTTCTTTTCCCTCCAGTTTGTGGCGGGTGAAACAGAAACAGCTCGGCGTGCACCAGCGCCCCCTTCTGGATGGGAGGTTAACTGGAGCACATATTAAATCAGAGCGTCACAGTTTCTTTAAAGAATCTGACTCATAGATAAAGCCTTTAGATTGAATTTTACACAGGTTGAACTGTCTTTTTAATTTCGCGCCTCTTTAACAGCTCTGTGTGCCTCTTGTTGCTTCTTATTAACCTTTATGGTTGTTTTTCTTCTTCTTTGCTTATTGTAGGAGCTTTTTGCTTACCTTTCTTCAGTCATTTTTCATTTTCACAGGAGCTAATATCCAGGAACGTTTCCAGGGATAAAATGTTGAGAATTCTTTATATCTTTGTGTTGTTTTCACACCTACTTTGTGTTATTTAAAAAATGTTTTAAATGTCAATGTTAATTTTTTTTATATTTTTGATTTATTTATTTAACACATTTTATTTCATGTAAACTTAATTGGTAATGATGACAGATAAAAACATCAAAACCTATTTAGATCTACAACACCTAAAGGCAACACACACACATTGTTTTCATTGTTCTATAACTTATTTGGGCTTTTACATTGCATGTCATAGGTTGGTCTGACTTCCCTGTATGTTCCCTGTATGTTTATATTGTTTGTGTCATTCAAAAAATTAACTGAATATTATGAATTTTGGTATATGTTCATGCAAAATGCCCAAATAATCAATCAATCTAGTAATCAAGCTGTATTTTGCCAAGATAATTGTTTAAAGTAAATTCATATTCATCTTCAAATGCACACAGTGGACTCAGCAAATGGTGATCAGATCATATGTGCATTATTTTTCCTGCTTTTTGTATGTAAAAACATATTTTTGCAAACACACAGCAAATTATACCCATTAAGAGTATAACAGTGTAGAATAAATTATGACATTTATTTTATGTACAGAGTACAGATATGAAATACCTTAATGGTAATAACTTGTGCTCAGAGTTTGTGTACTTTATATTTGATGTTTTATTTATTTAGTTTTCATAGTTTTATTTCTTTTATAATAATGTTTGGTCTTTGTCTGGGACCAGGGTCAAGAAGTTTAAGAACAGGTGAAAAAACACCTGACACACTCAGAGATATTCAAATCTAAATAGTAAATAGGGGGAAATATGGCGACAGTGGGAGTTTCAATGTATATTTTTACTTTTATTAAAAAGTAAATGTGTACTTCATGCTGTTTTTACACAGACGAAACTGACTAAACCTAAAACTGGGTGGTTAAGCCTGATGTGGCAGCATGGTTATGTGCTCAAATTGTGGTCATAAATATTTTGTACTTGTAAATCAGAATGCGTATATTTGTGCATCTGTAGATAAGAATTTGTGTGTGCGTAAAAAAGATTTGTGTGTGTAAAAAGAATTTGTGTGTGCGTAAAAAAGATTTGTGTGTGTAAAAAGAATTTGTGTGTGCGTAAAAAAGATTGTGTGTAAAAATATTTCCCCAATTACAAATTATTTTTGTTAAGGCCTGGTTACAGATACAAAGCAAAAAAATTGTTAGTTAAATTTGTGATTGTCATGACATTGACCATTCGGCTGAAAGGAAGAAAAATCGGGTCAAAGTTCGTACTTGTAAGTTGAAACTTGAGTGCAGAGTTTCACACGTAATTTTTTTTGTTTGCTTTGTATCTGTAACCAGACCTTAACAAGAATTAGTAACTTGTGTAAATATTTTTACACACACAAATCTTTTTTACGCACACACAAATTCTTATCTACAGATGCACAAATATACGCATTCTGATTTACAAAACTGATTTACAAGTACAAAATATTTATAACCACAATTTGAGCCCATATTTTTTCTTAAATCTAGCTTCATAGACAGTGTCACATCTGTGCCTGATTTTGAGAGCAGGGTTCCATGATGTTAATTAGCCTTTATATGTTTAGTGTTTCATGTCCTCTTAAAAGTTGGTGTCTTGCAAATTTTGGAGGTTTGTTTGTGTCTCTTTTTCATAATTTTCTCTCTTTTGTAGTTGTTACATATCTTAGTGGCCATTTGAAGCCGATGTGACTTAATGTTATTGTTTTACTTCGTTTTTGTCTCTTTTCAATCGCTTCCTTTCGCCTTTGCGCTCGTTATTTATGGTAGTTGTTTTTCTCCCTCTTTCGCCGCTGGTGTCGTCATGTGATGTAGTGGGCGGGCCCTAATCGGCTTCTCTCTGATTGGCCCACCATTCAGTGCTTTTCTTCCTCGTCCACGAGCCGACCGAGAGCTGTCGGCTTTTATGCTGAAGCTGCTGTTCGTTCCTTATCGTCGCTGCACTCGCCGGTAAGTACTACAGGACTGTCCTAATGTTTTTAAGTATTTTTTTTCCTGCCTGGTGCTGTCTCTCGAGTTGTCGGCAGTTGAGTAGCGTTCAAATCAGCTGCACCGGACAGATAACAGCCCGCTTATTCTCAACGTACAGCCGTGATATATCGTCATTTTCATGACTATATGTCTGTCACTTTATATCAAAGTGACAGATACGAACCGTTAGGCCCAGTTTCAGTGTCTTCACGTTTGTTGTTGGTTATGCTGCCCCTCAGTAGTGACCCTCTGGGTGACGCAATACGCGCAGAGTATGTCCATCCCGGGCCTCTCCTATGGTTTGTTTAAGCACACTGCTTTTTGTAACGCACTTTGGCACACATCATCGGCTGGGAGGTGATCCCCGTCGATTGCACATAGGTATTTGAGTGAATAGATGCGTTTGCTGCTCCACTGGATGAAAGACATCCTTTCTATACAAGACTTAGTGCATTAGTGAAATCAGGCAGCCGCTGGCCAAAATCACAGACCTCACGTTGAATCAACAAATGCAGCACGGGACCCTGCTGATGACAATTACACCCTCCCCCCAACACACACACACACACATACACACACACACAGTGTGCATCTGCAGCAGTGAAATTTGTTTCACCAGACTGCATCTTTTTTTTAATGTAATTTCCCAGCATGATGACAACGCTGTCGCAGACAAAGGAGCTCTTCAGGAGAGCTGAAGCTGTCTGCTTTGATGTGGACAGCACAGTAATCAAGGAAGAAGGCATTGATGAACTCGCCAAATTCTGTGGTGTGGGGGATGCAGTCACTGAAATGTAGGTGGATTTTTATTTTTTTTTAATGGATTTGTTGTGGGTGTTTAGAACAAACAAAAATGTGTTACTTGGACGTTTCAGGACACGCAAAGCCATGGGCGGCTCAATGACCTTCAAAAAGGCCCTGACTGAGCGTCTTTCCATCATCCGATGTTCCAGAGAACAAGTCAACAAGCTGATAACAGACCACCCACCTCAGCTTACTCCAGGTGTCAGGTGAATTAATGTAGAAATAACTGACCTCTTTAGGTGGATGTTGTCCTCCACATTATAATAATAACTTATATGAATGCATGGTTGAAAACTATTGCCAAAAACAAATAGGAGTCAGCTGAAAATGCAGAAAGCAAAACCTTCAGAGTGTGAATCACAAACCAGCTGTAATGTGTGCATACAAACACAAAATTTCTCACACACACAGACAGACACAGACCCTGTGAAACACAAAATTTCTCACACACAAGACAGACACAGACCCTGTGAAATACTGCTGCTGACCTTTCTTCCTGAATCACAACGTTTCCGTCCAGCTGACCAACATCAGGTCAGGTAAACAAACAAAATGTTTGCACCTGATGAAGTTCAGTTGGACGGAAATGTTGTGATTCAATAAAATAGTGGTAAACAAGTTGGTTCTGGAGTGCTGCCTTAAAAAACCCAAACAAAATATATCTGCAGTTCTAGCGATGTGAACGACACTTGGGATCAAGAATAGAAACATTTGTCTGCTTCATCAAGTGAGCGCATGTACACTTCTGTGAGTTTGCAGTAGATTTTGTGCCACTGTAACTTTACTGCACACTCTCTTTTGGTTGCATTAGTAAGATATGCACATCCAAATGATCAGAGAAAATTTTGCACTTCCAAAAGATTTTCAAACTTTAAACACATAACCTGCTCTGGACGTGGTCAGTATGTTCAGCATAAGATGCTATGTTGATCTAGAGAAAGAGAGTCACCTTCCTGACACAGAAAACTCTGACTTTAAGCACTAAGCTAGCCTAACCCATTAACCGCTCACCTCATAGTTTATCTCTCTGGCCTGACACTGAAAAATAATTGCCCTGTGCTTAAATGAACAATGTGGTGAATCAGGCCCTGAAATCTTGTATCCAACAAGAATGGAAAAGACTTTTGTCTGTCCACAGTAATCACTACTGGTTAATCAGTCCTAAAAGTCTACAATCAACTTGTGCTTGAGATCACATTTGGTCACATTTTCCAGGCAACAATCTGTGAACTGAGAGCTGGATAAGCTACCACGTTCTGGTTTTACTTTGTATCCATTTTATTTTTTGATTAGTTTTTACCTTATTAAGTCATGTGTTTGGTCATATTTGTATTGGATTTCACTGAGCCACATACCGTTCTCCTTATTTCAACAGTCTGTAATTTGTTTGTGTTCAACTCCTGTAACAAAGGAAAACAAAGGAAAAATTTCCCAGCATTGGGATAAATAAAGTGCATCTTGTGTTATTTCATTTTGCAGTAAAGTGGCAAAGCCGTGTCTCCTGGAAATTGTTCTTTCTTCTTCTACATTATTGCATTTTTGTAATTAAATTTTAGGAAACTTCACACGGCACAGGGCAGCAGAATAACTCTCATTGCATGTGAATGTCAAAAAACATTTTCTTCTGAGTGTTGATGTTTTTCCATTTCTTTGTCCAGGGAGCTCGTGGACCGTCTGCATGAGCTCAACATAAAGGTGTTCCTCATTTCAGGTGGCTTCCGCTGCATTGTTGAACACGTGGCCACTCAGCTAAACATCCCTTTGAATCACGTTTACGCCAACCGGCTCAAATTCTACTTCAATGGTAAGAGCCAGCGGCGGGCTGTTTGTGATGTTCTTCTGTTCTCACATGAGTGGAAGTCCAGGCTAAACCCTTTGAGTGGATCATTGAATATACACAACAGACCCTTAGGTTTAATCTAAGTCAGGTCTTTTGACTGGTTAAATTAAATTTAATAAAAATATCATCTTCCAGGAGAGTACGCTGGTTTTGATGAGAGTCAGCCCACAGCTGAGAGCGGAGGAAAGGGGAAGGTCATCAGCATGCTGAAGGAACAGTACGGCTATGAGACTGTGGTGATGATCGGAGATGGTGCCACTGATCTTGAGGCCTGCCCTCCAGCTGTAAGTGTCGCCGTTTGCCAGTGTAAAAAGCGATTACAGTGTGATTACAGTATTTCACCCTTTTATTTTGTCTTCAGAGCGCTTTCATTGGATTTGGCGGGAATGTCGTCAGGCCGCAGGTCAAGGAGAGGTCTTCGTGGTATGTGACGAGTTTTGGGGAGCTACTGAAAGAACTGGAGAAGATTTAAAGGTGCTCAAAGATTAGTTTATGATTTTTAACACGTTATACTTGCACCTAAGGGTGTGCCACTGGTAGATTTTACCAAGTGGACGTTTTTCCTTAGACCTTGATAGATTTTTATATTAAATCAAATGTTTATACTAGTGGGAGCAATCGTAACTTTAATAGCTATGTTGCCCTTTTTTATACTACAAGGTACTAAAACACTACATGGAAGACAATCTTAAAAAGATTATTTTAGTGTTTTTGCAGTTTACATGAAAGCTTTTAGGTGGACTAGAACGACTCATTTGTATTATGGCACGTGCAATGAGAAGTGAAAGTATTTTTAATCGGGTTTCTGTTCTGTAAGAGCTGTAAGCAGACCTGTCAGTGACAGTGTAGTGACTCAAGTCAGAAAAACACAGCATTAAAAGATGAGTGTCCACTTCGCTGTTTGAATGACTTTAATCTGTGTTCTTGTCCTTGTCTCTACATTGTTCCCTCTGAACAGAAACACCAGATCAACATGCTTCCTTTAACAATAAAAACCGTTACGGTATAAAGCAGCGTGACTGTGATCACCTGCGTACCAAATTCACTCAGTCACTGATATGCAGAACACCTGTTTTAACTGATTTGTGCCTCGTTAAGATACGTTGGATAAAAACGGACTTTAAAACCACGCATGTCGTCCTGAGAAAAAGAAAAACTGTAAGCCATAGTTACAAACACAGCACCACTAAACATTAATGTTACCAGGAAATGTAGGGACATCCACGAAAAGCAACCAAAAGGAGTAAAACAATGATTCATAATACACATCAAATATAAAATTATGGTATCTGCATTTCACACACTTATGATTTTGAAAGAAATATAGTTTCTATTCATACAAGGGATCTCTTTTCAGTCTGAAATGGCATGGCTTTTACATCAAAGTTTCTCAGCACACTAAAAACATGTACTTTAAAGTTACATTAAATAAATAAATAGCTCCTGCAGCGAGCTTCAGCAGTACTATTTTTAATCTAGCTGTTCCCACACTTTAACGCCATACAGCTGCTCCTTTTGATTTTTCCTGTCAAGTAACTTTGGTTGGCTCTAACCTTGGAAATGAAATCTCTCCATGGACCAATTTTGATGTGGCACCACATTTCAGACAAACACATCTACATATTTTAACACTCCCTCCCAAACCTGAACTCACACAGAAAATACTGCGTGTCTTAAAAGTGGCGTGGAGCCTTTCAGTAACTATTTGAACTGCAGATAAATTTCAGAGACCCGACTCGATCCAAGCGACATCCTTCAGTAATAAAACAGACGTTAACAAAAAGAGAATGGACGTTGTTTGGCAGCACTGACAAAGATTGAACCCATGATGCTGATGTAACATTCAAAGGAGGTGCCGCTCGATGTCAGCTTCCAGCTGGCTTTTCATTTTACTGCAGTGGCGAAGCCTTTGTGGGAATCATGATCCTTGAGTCCATGTGCTGAATGAGTGGGACTGGGAAAAGATGAGTTTAAAAACCTTTGAGGCTCAGAAAGTGACAAACTCAACAAAAAACTTTGTAAAGTTTTCAGTCGCACAGCTTTGAGTTTACAAAAAGACTTATTGTGCTCACCTGTGTAATACACCACCTCGTGCCAGCCTTCCTGCTGCCACACAGCATTCCTCGTGTCTTCTCGGGACTGAAGGTCCTTGTAAGCTGTAATTAACAAATCACTGCATTATAATGCTGCAGTATAAGTACATGATTTTAAGTTAAGACTTAATCTGGTAACTTTGTAATGATCAAATTAATCACGGAAGACATTTTTAGGACACGTGCATCTGTAAAGACAAGCTAACAAATGTTTCCTCATGTTTGAGCTCCACTTTGCTCTCCACCAACTTTCAAGCTCCTGATGGCTCCACTTGTTTTTTTGTTTTTACCTGCTAGTTGCTAAATTTTGCTTAATTTACGGAACAGCGATTGTGCGGGTTTGCTGAGAGGCAGTTTCAGCCACTAAACGTGCTCCTGTGCAGTCCTCCAAAATCTCAACCACATTTGTGCTTCTCCCAGGAATGGGAGAAAACCCAATCAAAGACAAAATACAGCATGAGAAGCACAGACTGTGGCTGCAGCAGAAACTTTCAATGCTTTGAACACTCAGTTTCACTTCAGCTCTTTGCTCTCCTTGATGGATGACTGACAGACCAACAACAGCACAAGCAGGAGTAGACAGACCAGTCATACCACATATTTTGTTTGCTTCCCCCATCTGTTAACAGACAAAGTCTTGCAGGTGGAGGGAGAGTCTGAAGCTGACAATATGCTGCCACCTCTCAACCATAATTTCCTTGTTAGGCTGTGGGGTTGTGCTGATGATGTCAGGGATAGATGGTGGTCAATTTTAAGGTGATTTTTATCTAATTTCCCTGCGGATTCATTGTTCTGCGATTAATAACAAATTCAACCTGCCAGGCCACGGTTTCATGTCACTCCTCCACACATAACTCACACTTGCAACACAGACCTCTGTGCACATTTAAGTTAATGTGTATGTGTGCGAATTGCGTTTGCTGTTCCATCATATTCATCATCCAATTGGAGAAAACAGGAGGCTGGATTTACAGAGATCCTAACATTGTCTTGTCTATGTGTGCTGAGGCAGAGTGAAGAAAGCAGGATAAACAGGTGAAATATTTTACACAGGAAAAAACCCAAACTAGATTATGTAGAACTGTAGGTCAATTCAGTTCAACTTTATTTATATAGCATGATCTCCATGTCCTCCACACACAGCTGAGTTTTTCACCAACAAAAATGTCAGATGGGGAAAAGTTTCCTATTTTGACCCAATCAGTAAATGTTGTATGTTAACAGGCAAGCATTTCTTCATGATGGAAGTGAGAAAAACTAATGTAGGCTACCTGTTTCTCTTTCACCCATGCACATTTTTTTGTGCATATAAGTTATGGAGGGTAGACAGCGATGCCTCGGGGTGGGCAACAGGACTATCAAGAAAATCGCCTCATCCCTAGTGTACAGAGGGCCGTCTCTCCCTCACAGCTGTATGCTCATTCTTGAGAACAGTGAGACCGTTTTAATAGATTTGTTGTAGTTTTGGTCCGCTTTGGTCTGAGTGACGTAAATTATGTGAGAGGTGAGCGCGAAGCTCTGACTTCACATCACAACGAACCAAGTTTGCACACTCCCTTCAAGCAGACTTCAAAGCAGTTTTCACAGGAATGACTATTTGCTCGTGATTAAAGCTCTCTGGAGAGCTGGGTGTACTGCAAATTGGGATGATAATTACCTCAGTTAACATTGCACACATTTATCTATCAATTACACGCCTCAGGAGACAATCTCACATTGCCTGTTTTGACCAAACAGCCCAAAAATCCAAATATATTAACTCTATAATAACAAAGAAAAGCAGAAAATCTGGAACATGACATTTCTGGTATGTATATCCAAGATAAATTACTGTTAACTGTTGTTGATTTTCTGCGAAGCAACTAATGATTTCAACATTAGCGTAATTATCTAAAGTCAGCGTGGAAGTGTTTGAACGTACCCCAGAGGTGATGGACCATATAGAGGTTTCCAATCTGTGAGAAAAACCCTCCCACAGCTTCTCTGTTCTGCTGGCGATATCGAACGGCTCTGGCCCTGCAGACAAAAGCACCTCTGGTCACAGCACAGGCCAAAAAAAACACAAAGGCTTCATCTGGCTTAACACCAGACCACCACAAACACACACATGAAATATTTAACCAGCATTCAAAGGATTTCAACATCATCCCCGAATACCTCCTGATTAATTCACACGACTGGATTTTCTCAGCTAAAGCAGGATGGCAACCTGCTCCTTTAGCTGCGATTATAACTTCCAACATCACATCCGACCGCGAGACGTGACATCATCATGACTTACTGTACGCATGTTTATGAATCTAAAGACTGGCCAAGTCTTCGTGAAACGAGTGAGGAGAATGTTTTGAATCTATTACATTTTCCTCCCAAAGCAAACAAACATATTCAAACCATAATCACTGTCTGGATAGAAAACTATGAAGCTCGAGTTTCATCAAACTGGTGAAATACGAAGCAGAAGTTTAAACCTTTAACCGCACAAATTATATTAAATAGCTTTACTGGCATTATCTGCAGGACTTTGGAGGTTTATTTAAAAAAAAAAGCTGGTTAAAGTGTGAATGAATACAAACATTAAGAATAAAAAATAAAATAAAAAAAAAAGCTGTCACAGTGTGTTTTTTTTGCATTAAGGCTGATTTCCTAGCCATGATTACTGAAAAGCACAGGGAACAGGGGGAGATCAATCAATCATGTGTGCTTTTCTAGGAAAAGGCAAAGCATAAAGCTTCAAAGCAGAAAATCTTACGTCTAACTTAAAAATCAAATAATACCTGTAATAATATTTACATATAAAACTGCACACAGGCTAAGTTTGCAGGATAATGACAACTTTTCTTCTGAATATGTAATCCCAACCACTAATAACTAAAAGAAATAAAACTATGGTCAGACAGAAGAAATTTATCTGGAAAGCAAAGGCTTGTGCAGAAAGCTCACATCCTCAATTTAATCCATCACAATCTTCGCTGCTGCACCTACTGATAAATGCTGATCTGCTGGCTCTGTGAGTCCACGCAGCGGCTCTTTCCAGGCTCACATTACTCAACTATTATATACACGTTTGTAGTGTACACACTGTTACACTAGCATTTGATTCTTGGCTTGAGGGAATGACAGCATAGCTTCAAACGTGGGGCTGTCTCTGTGGAATAGCTCTTATTAATGACAGTGTGATGAGGGAGCTTTCATGTAGTACAACTGTTCTGTAAGTACAGTTCAGTGAATCAAGTGAATTCAGGCTGCCTTACCAGTAATTACCCCACTCGATCATGGTTCCTGGCTGCGAGAGAGAAAACACAATATTCTTTATTAGATTTAAGCATATATATATATATGTAATGGAGAACTTTCGAACTTCTTTCCAAAGTAAATATATTAATGTGAAAAAGAAAAAAAAATGGCAAAGAGGTAGTAACACAGGTATTTTGTCAATGCGAACAACTACACCCGAGAGAGCGGCTTCAATCATTCTCTGGTGCATAAGACGACAAACGCCCTGCTGTTTCAAAGATGCAATCTCAGCCTGTGATGAGGGGATAATAGCGAGCATTCATCACATGTCACAGAGGGGTGCTGGTCTAGAGACAGTTTGATTTTTTCAATTATAAAAAGCATGACTTAATCCGCGGTGGATGGCGTGGTTTCGATTAAGCGTTTCTGCACGTTAGTGATCATCCCGTGATGGTTAGCACAACACTCGGGATGATCCTGAGTGTCGTGCTAACAGCTTGAGGGGAAAGAAGTAATTTAAGTCCACAGAAGGATGTCAGGATGGAGATCATCAGTTTTAAATGGGAAACATGAGGTAAGAAAAGGATGGATAGTTTAACAGCCAAGCCCGAGCTGCTGCAGTGAGATGTGGCAGCAGATAAACAATTGTGTTTTTACCAGAGAGTCTTTAAAGTCTGTCCATGGACAAAAGGTGTGATCATGAAGAGTGAATACTATCTGTCACCTTTTTTTTTTTTATAATAAATATAACCATGTAAGTTTAGGGAAGCTCTTCTAGTGCTGTGAACGGCTGCACAATTTCCTTAAGTGTAAACTAGGGAGCAATCACTTGAATACAAACTGACAGACAGGCAAAGTTTTAAAGTGTAATAAATGCAGAAAATGAGTAAAGAAAACCACCAGAATGAGACATTTGTTAAACTAGCAACTTGCTGATTTCATACACTGATAGTGCGTTTAGCTTTTAAGGCATCATTGTTAAACTTGGTGTAAGAAATCCTCACTGAATACAGTCATCTGTTTCAGTGTTTCTGTTTCAGTTGCATTTATGTGGCCCATTTTGGAGCTGTAGAACACATTCTGGAAATCAGACTTTAACACACCGAGCCCAGTCCTGACAACGATACAGGCTGCAGCTCAACCACTCACCCTGAGCTGGTAGGTCCTGAGCTCGTATACGTTTGGTCCCGTTCGGGGTACTGGCTCGTTCCAGAAGCTGAACTCCAGGAGGAGCTGATTCCTGCGGGACAACAGCATCTTTCCTCGCTCCTTCCTGTAGGCTGTGAATTCCTGGCAATGGACAGACATTAATCAGTGAGCTTACTCAGACTTATAATCCCCCGGGTAAAGCAAAGGGCCGTGTAGTAGTACCTTGTTCTGCCTGAGCTTGTTCATCACCTCAGTAAGAGCTGGGTATCCACCTCTGTAACGCCACAGATGCACTGGGGGGACAATTTGTCACAATTACAACATCACATCAAGTACAAACAGAAGGATCATCATGTAGCAGAGTAAAGATATCCAGATGTCCGGCTTTTAACGTCTGACATAACTACATCCATTTGTGGTTAGTGTAAATAAATACTGGGAGGGAAATTACTGTGGTGTAAACACTGCAACAAAAAAAATAAACACCTCCTGATCAATAGCTTGCAAGACAGCTAATGATTGATGCTGTACTTGCACGTGAATATGCGGTGTAACACGCATGCTGATTGCAAACTGTGCGGATCGCAGCGCTGTTATACCGCAGATGTCTGTGTGTGTTGATATTAGTAATCCTACCAGCCTGGTCTTGTTCTCCATACCAGGTATTCCAGGTTCCCACCAGCTCACAGGGGTAGTACTTATCAGCGTGGATGGAGGGCAACACATCCTCACTGTGGCAAACGAGAAGCCAAATAATTAAATGCAGTACGACCAGCATGTGTTGTGCTTAAAGTCCATGGGTTCCAGTCATCTTAGGTATGAGCATGTCTGGTTTGTGGAGGACAGAAGTCATACCAGCCCATACATCATCTTACAGGAATAGACTGGATAATTTTTTTTACACGAAGTGTCCAGTCCTTGATCCTCCTCCCACTTATGGTAAAGCTTCCTCTGCACTAGAGGTTCACAACATCAAATGACAAAACACTCACCAGAGTTTGTTGTATGCATCCAGGCACTCTGGCTTGACGTTATGGACTGAAACAAAAGTTTAAATGAGAAAAAAAGTCTCATTACTAAAGGTCAAAATGTTGTTAATGTAATGCGGGGACCCTAAAGGCAACTTACACTGAATCTTATAGAGGTTACTCTCCTCATTTTTGGTCAGTAGGGTGGAGTGTGCATCTTTTCTGGGATCAACTTTCCTCACAAACAGTGACTTGAACCAGCTGTCCTCTCTATTTCTACAGCTGGAAGTTGCAAACCCCCTGCAAACACAGGCCACCATGAAAAAGAAACACACGGACACTGCAACGACTTCGGAATGACTGACTTCCTAGTCTATATGTACATGCACAGCCACGTAGTATCTGTTTTAGGGGCTTTGGTGCGGTTGTTCAGTTGAAAATGTCAGACCCTCTGATGCACACGGTGATCAGTGCATCTGCATGCTATCTGTAAGTCATGCAATTTTTACAAGGTAGCAATATAAACTGTCAAATTGACCTTGAGCGTTTTAGATGCTTACTGTCAAACGTTGACAGAAACTATTGCTCTTTTGAGTTTCCCAACAGTGACAGAAGCATTAGTCTTAAATATCACGTACTAAATAAACGCACATAAGCTGAAGCTCCTGGTTAAGTTCAAGCTGAAAGGCCACAGTGGGCTGGCTAGCAGTCACTGGGCTAGCTTTACCGGGCTACTCGTAGCCACCAACAGATCCCCACTGAAAACACTACACAGCTAACACAGGAAGCTACAGAGATGACTGTTGAACATTCACGATGAAGACTGCCCCACCTGCCCCACACCGCGAGCTGTCCGGCCGAGTGGGCCCCGCTTTTAGCCCGACCCAAACCACCGCTGACTCTCTGAAGGACTCCAGTCGCCATCTTCAACTGTGCTAATGCTCCGCGGAGCAGTGGCTGGTACCGCGCCTCACCACCAGGTGGCAGCAGAGCAGCACATCCACACATTCCCTCTATGTGTGTCTGCAGGGACCAGAACATGCTGGGCACTGAGCATACTGAGGAATGCAAAGGATACCCGGATCAACTAATTACAGACCCCTGGGTACAAATCTTTGAGAGGCTCCAGCAAACTTTGATTTTTCATAAAGATTTCGACATATGTGTGCAAAATGATTTCTAATCATTAAGGAGAGGACTGCGTCTCACTGGGAAATAAAAAAAAGACCATTATAACTTCCTTAGGTGTTAAAAGGCTTAACAAATGAAAAACAACAACAACAACATTCCTTTGGAAATAGTCAGGTACAAGGACTGGACTGAAAATGAGTGAAAATGCAGCCAATGTCCAAAAAACCTGAAGAACTATTGCTCAAGACCACTTTAAAGATTACAGGAAAGTCTGGCTCCTTGCAAGTAAAACAGGAGTCTCTCAGGAGGAGTCTTGTATCAGTGCTTCCAATTTTTATGCTGCATGGATGGGCCACCAAGTGTGGACCCCTGGGCTCTTATCCAGAATGCCCATTGGATAATCCAGCCCACAGAGATATGAACTTGCAGACAGTAAACGTAAACTTATAAAGTTTTATATGGTAATAGTATTTATTGACAATGAGTATGTTTGCATGTACATTAGTATTTGACTTTTTCAATTTATGGGGTTATTGATTTACTGCTTTCTTTAGATTGTACACTGATAGAAGTATTGAGTGGTATTTAATTTATCATATTTTAATAGATTATATTTTTTGTACCTCGCCCCACTGTCAGGTCAAACTTCATACATGAACATGTTTACATGTGGACTCAAATCCAAGTTTTGATTCTTTCCCTGGTTTCGATCATGTTGTGGTTATTATGTTTAGGTCCACATGAAGTAGGTGTGATACAGATGTGCAGATCAGGTCATAACTGCTGTATGTGTGAACATCCTGACTTTGTGATAAGGCTAGTATGCCTTTAAAATTATATCATATCTAGCAGTTTTGGTACATCCCATGTGTAACACCAGGACACTAAAACTGAAGACACTGAATTCAATTCAAACATCAATTCATTTTATTATATTTTAAAGACATTCTGAGGCATTTGAAGCAAAAGAGAATAAAACAAAATAACAATTAGCTTGCTGTTAGCTATCCTGAATACTCAGGATAGGGCAAACACAGGTGTAGTTCATTTATTTGTTGGTAATTCATAAAGCTAATAAACCATAACTCTGGGGTTAAAAACAAATCTGAACGCAGTCGTTATCTAGATGATCACCTGTACCAAGGTTCACTGTTTGTCCCATGCACTGACTGCTCACTGTGTGTCTGCTGTGGATTATAGCCAGCAGTAAAACTATCTTCTGTTGACATCCTCTGAAAAAAAAAATGGGGCCCTCAGGTAGATATGGGATCCATGGAGATCGTGATGGATGTGAATCCCTCTCTTCTGTAGGACCTAACACAGAGTATAGTACAATAGCCTTTAGTTTAATAGGTTCACCTATGTGAAAATCTTTCAGCAGCATAAGTGATGATAACACAAAAAATAAATCTTTCTTTAAAATGCATTTTTGGTGGAATATCTAAAATACACAAATCACTGCCTAGCAAACTAAAACTGTTTGAGAGAGGGGAAAAAAAATCAGCATGTGGTGATGACATATGGCACAAAACATACAACACTTTCTGAACAGTTGTATTGATATTTGAGTTACTGTTGCCTTCCTATCAGCTTGTAATTCTCCTCTGAACTCTGGTATGGTATGAGTCTGAAATACTCTGCCCAGCCCGTCTGGCACTGACAACAATGCCGCCTTCAAAGTAACTTAAATCACTTTTCTTCCTCATTCTGATGCTCTGCTTGAATTTCAGCAGGTGATCTTGATCGTGCCTTCATGTCTAAATGCACTGGGTTGTAACCCCCGATTACATACCTGAATTAATAAGCAGTTGAACATTTGGATAGTAAAAGGTGTTAAAAAAGGGTCTTATCAGAATGATTACATACTTCACAAAACTTACTACACTTTCTGAACAGGTGGGGGTTCTACAGTCTAAGTCATAACCCACCAGCTACTACCCAGACCACTGTCCAGAGACAGATCAACAAAATCTGTCTGTAACTCTGCTGCACTCATCTATAAAATCAAAAGAGAATTGCATCTTTAGAATTTTAGGCATCCATCCTTTCACTGCTTTAACCATCTCCTCTCCACTTTCACCTTCAGATGAGTCAGAGTTGGACTCCAGCTGGAGGATGAAGCGCTATCTTCACACACATAGTGCACGATCATTTCCAGAGCCTCGTGTGCACTGTAAAGTCTTGCCATCACCAAAATGACTGCCCCTGCACTACTGCTCACACTTCTAACCATGGCTGCAGTGCAGCTGCATTAACGTCTTGAGCAAGAACCAGAATAAAGTCCAAGTTTGTTTTGGTTCTTGCTGCAGAGATATCACACAAATACACTCATACACATGTGCACACGCTCACACACCATTATCCAACATCAATAGCAGGAAACATTTGCCATATCAGCAGAAAACAGAAAAAAGGGTGAAATTTTGGTGCATGCTTTGAATGGTTAAAAAATAGCGTCACCTGGTGGACAAATGTAAAAATTAAAAATCGAAGGCAAGGAGTCCAAAATAAAGTCTTAACATAAAGGAATGCATGTGCCGATAAATGTGGGATCAAAAGATTATTTTTTAATTATTTTTAATCGGTTTGTTTTTTCAGCAATAGGATAAAATGTGGGGGGTTTGTGTAGCTTAGCCATTTAAAGCTAATTTCAGGAACTAAGACAACAATTCTAAAATTTAAATATGAGCTATATTCATTCAGCACAGCCAAAGCATGAAAGCATGAAAAAAAAAATGCCACAAAATATCCCCAGGATATTAAGGGTTAAATACTAAATGTAAATATGTAGTTGACGAGGGACTGACTGATATTTTGTATGTTGCAAGACTGCGTCACATCTGCAGGAATTCAGAACAGTTGTGATTGATTTATTATTTGAAAGAGCGACTATATAGCTAACAAAGACCATATTGCTAAAGCCCACTTGGCTTTCGGAGAAAGACTACTTACCACCAGTGGAATTCAGAAACTATGGAGGGATTTGTTTTAAGTTCAAAGACATGAATCATGTGGGAGTGTTTTCCTCATGAAACATTTTTGAATAGGAAAGGGCAAAATATGGATATGTCTGGGAATTCAAAGACTGATTATATCCAGTTAAATTCTGTGCTTTTACTCTGGAAATTTGTCAAGGTGGTTGATTCTCACTTAATTTTCAGCTGGTGATTTTTTTTATTTGGTTGTTTATTTTAAATAAAAGGACTCCCCTCGCCTTTCATCACAAACATTAATGTGAATTAAAAATTAAAAGTGGGGCTTCACATCAGCGCAGTACAACTCCCGTAATGTCAGTGTTAATCTGAATGGATGTGAAGTAGTTTCCCAAGGGCAAATTTTATTAATGGAAGAAGTGAGATCATCTCAGTTTTACTGCAGCTCTACATATACCACGATCCACTACACGTGTAGTAAAAGGTATTTCATGGGGTCTTATCACAACGTTGACTAAGAATTGATAAACTTTGATTTTTTTGTTGTATTTCTATTAGAATATGCATATTTCTAATATATTTCCAAAATTTTTAAAGCACAAAATAAACTTGTGGCGCTTTCAGGGTTATAGTCATAAATGGTCCTATAAGAGCGCAGCCTTTACTTTATTATGTGATCCAGCTTGACAACGTACATGTAAAATGCCATTAAACCATCACAGGCCTGTCATATTGTGTTGTATTGTACAGAAGTTATGAGATGTCTGACAAACACTGGCAATGTTACCAGCTGTTTAAAATAACAATCATGGTTTTGATTTTTGGAGTTCGAAGAAGGTCAAGAAAATGACTGAGTCTACAGTAATATACCATCCATCCATTTATTCCCAACCTTTCTCAGTTGTCATACAGTGAAAGGTCAACAGCCCATCACAAGGCTAATGCATCCCACTTGTTGCCCATTTAAACCCTGCAGTTACCCTAACAGGCCTGTCTTTAAACTGTGGGATGAAGCCAGAGTAGATGGAGAAATCCCGCACAGGCAACAGGAAGAGCGTGCAGGCTCCACACAGACAGACCTCAGCCTGCTGTGATACAACAGTGCTAACCAGCGCATCACCGTGCTGCTTATAGTCTGTCATTTATGATGCTTGCACCTGAGTGAAGATAAGTGTAATTTTGCAATTGAGCCCCTGGACAATATAACGCTCTGCCTGAGAGTAAGCATAACAAATTTCTTACTTTATTTAAATGTAACTAAATTTCAGGCTTCACAGACTTCTACTTTCCTTCTATTAATCCTTTATTATTTTTCATGTCATAATAAATAAGCATCTCCAACCAAAACCGAATAGCTGGCTTATCTTTTCTTTGATCGTTTTTGGTCATTACAGCACCGTGCTGTAGGATTAGGTGCTTTCCTGCAGCACAACAATGAGCTGCAATAGCTAGAATTCAATTTTAGATGCAATTAATTTCTCTCAAGCACGACTCTGAGAAGAACAGCTGTGAAAACAGCTGATATGAATCCTTCACTAATGCACCAGAAAATCATGGAGTCCATTTATCAAGAAGTTTAGAAATTTTTTTTTTTTTTTTTATAACCCACCTCACCCTATCCTCTCGTGAACATCATGTTCAGAGTGAATCTTTAGAAAACTGAATACCTCCAAGCCATATCATCTGACTGGCTGTCTTTGCCATTTCCCTCTCTCTTCCCTTATTATCTTTGGCTTTATTATCAACATGCCTGCTGGTAAAACCTTTCCAAGAAATGCTGCCGGACATGTGAGAAAATACTTTGAACATTTTGTTTATAATCTTCACTTCTTATCTTGTGTGGGCACTCCAGTGAGTGAATGCAGCTCTACATCACACCGTGGCACTAAGGCATTTTTAGTGTCTCCCTTAAGTAGATTAATAACAAAGAATAAGTCTGTGTT